TCCTCCGGGTAGTCACCCTCTTGATCTCTTTTAAGGACGGCTCCCGGAGGAAGGCCTCTGACTCAGATCTCAAGGGGCGGGAGGGTTGTTATTTTGAGAGATTTCCATAGTGTTGGGGAAAGGTAAGAAGCAGTAGAGAACTTGCAACATAAATACTTGTTGTAGTCAAGCAGTAGTTTTTAAACATTCTGCCTTTGGGGCATCCTTCCTTCATTGACTAGTTTATTGCATAACTCCCAAGTGCCATGCATCCACTGCTGCAGAGAATTCTAGGGCACACACTATGAGGACCCCTGGCTAGGCCTTTTGAGATTCCTTCTCATCCACCCTCACCGAGAGTGCACTGTACCATGAACCTAATAACCCCCCTGCCATGAACAAGTGCCAAGAAAATAGGCTGCAGTGGGCAAGAGGTCTTTCTGGGAAATGCATCTGCCATTTTGGTTTTCTCACTGATGAATCCCAGAATACTATTTGAAAAACAGTGTTGTAGGACCCACATTGATTTTACTTTGAGCTAACCATTCATTTCACACTGGTGTTGGCTCCTCCTAGAATGGGGAACAACTGGGACAATCAAGCGTGCAGCTCCCATGGATACCTATACATGGATATCACATCAACTTTCATGGCTCAAATATTAATGGTCAGCCCATGTACACCAGGGTGTGGGGAGCTGTGTGACTGTTGGATGAGGGCCAGCAGCACTGCTTCTTTAATTGGGTGGAACCCCTTATGTGATTTAACATGTGAATGCGACTTGGGTCTCTCATTCTATGTCCTTGTGATGGGACCAGATTACAACTGGCACCTCTTAGGGGCGGGGGGGGGGGGGGGGAACTGTGCCATTGTTTTCTTGGAAGTCATGTTGGGATAAGTTGGGAATATACGATGGCATTCCCTGGGACTATCATCTAAGTCCCATGTGTCTCTGCAATGCAGTATGAATTAGCAATGTTTCCTTCTGGAAGCTTGCAATTGGTTCTTCAAGCAGCTGCTCATGCCCTGCAGAGGTCATAACATTTTTTTCTCAAAGGCTCAACAAAGTGTTTAAAATGCTTAAAACTACAACCATGCATTTACAACCAGACTTCCCAGTTGAAGGTTGTCCAGAGGGTGATATCCTGGTTCCAGAAGAACTGAACATCTAGTTCAATTGCTGTATCTGGTGACCTCCAGATGTTTTGGACTTCAGCTCCCCTCATCCTTAGCCAATATGACTAAAGGTCAGGAATTCTGGGAGTTGCAGTCCAAAGGATACTGGCTTGGGAAAGGCTGTGCTTGAGTCCTGTCTCCCAACTTCATTCTTGCCAAAAAAGGAAGCAGAACCCATGAGTTCTGGCTTCCAGGGTATTTGCTTTTGCTTGAAGATAGCCAAGTGGAAGCCCACAAGTGAGATTTCAGCCTTCAGTACTTCTGTCTACCCAGTTTTAATCAAAAAGTGATACTACAGTCTCATATTTCATTTGTAAGAAAAGGAAACCATGGAATTCTATTCGAAGATGATATCGGGCTTTCCAGAAGATCGCAGAAGGACTGGCACGTGCCACTGTGTCTTTCAGGATACACATTGGTTCCTCAGCACCCCCTCTTCTTATTTGAAGAACTCACACTGTTGAAATGCATGTGCTTCTTACTTGAGAGCCTTCTACTGCAAACTTGAAAATGGGCAGGTGTGTAATCCAGGAACCACATTTTTACAACTCCAGCTAGTATCTGGGTGGTGGAGTGCTTTCAAGAATATGGAGGTTGTTTTAAGACAGAGGCTTCACAGACAAGATAGGTTTTGAGGTGTGGATCCCTTTTGGAAGAAACTCTGGACACAAACGTAATGCTTGTTTGCTTTAAACGCCAGGCCCTGGTTGCACATTGTGTTACTACTGTCTGGGAGGATTTACTTCTGAGCCATCTGCTGGGTATCCTTTTCTGTGAAGGAAGGAACTTGTCAAGCCTGATGTCAGACTGAAGTTGCATAACTCACAGTGTGTCATGAGGGGCAGGCCCTCTTTCAAAGGAACTGCTTGATAATACACAGTATTATGGCCTAACTGCTGTGGTGCCATAAAAATCCACCTGTGTTGTAAAAGACAGTGCTGATCGTCATAGCATTATTTGGGGTGGAGGGTGAGGGAAAGCTCGTCTTATGCCTGTCATCCCAGTCTCCCCTCTAATTTGGAAAAAAAGAATTAGGAACTGCCATGATGATTTTGCACAGCAACTAGAGGTCTGTATACCCACCCAACCAGCAGGTCTAGAGACATGTCTCCCTGTGTCACTGGCAGTTTCATGGTTCCAGGTCACATGCTGCATTGCAAAGGTTTCCTGGATGTCCACTGGTTGCCTTTGAAGACTGTAATGCTGGTGTGTAGCACATGCACACACATTACACACACTCCAGGGTGCTGAGTAATGTCAAAACTTTGTGGGCTAGTGGGACTTGAAGAAGGATTGGCAATCTACTTCCCCATAGGGAAGGGCTTAATGCTCTGGACATTCAGGTGAGAGCTGGAAGGAAGACTGCCTCAAGGAAAGGTGTGGCCAAGGGGCAGTGTTTGTAGGCTAACTGTGGAGAACCCTATGTGGAATGATGATTTATTTATCTGTAGGGAGTGTTGCTTATATTCCTCTGTTACCTTTTATTCTCTTCCCTGCTTAGTCCTCAGTTGTTTGATTAGATTAGTTTATTTGTACAGTTCTATGTGATACTGTATGTGTTGATATTTCTGTTGTATTTATCTACCAACGTGATTTCTGTCTGTAGTAATTTCTACTGTATTGTTTGAATATTGTTACTTTTATTGCTGTTTGACATGCTGTAAATGACATTCACTGCTGTTCATTTGTTATGCTGCAAGTCAGTTGGGGCACAATTTCGTGGAAAAGTGACATACGGATAAATCAATGACACGGAGTAAGATGAGCTGTTGCAAGTGGCAGAATCCAGCATTTCTTCACAGGCGTGCGAGTTTGGTCTTTGGTGTGTGCAACTCTGGTGAAAACACAGAAGACACATTTGCCCCGGAAAGCATGAACTGGTCCCAAAATAATATTACTTGACACTTAAGCAAAGATGGTTTGTAAACTGTAGGGCAGCATTGCATGCATGCCTTCTGAAGATGAGGGATTAGAGGCAGACCTGCCTAAGGTCCAGACCACACCATCCAAATTGGCAGGAAGGGAAAAAATCTTGAAAAAGGTCTTGCAGTGATTAGACATGACCATACCATACTTTCTGAAGCTGAAAGTTGGGTATTAGCCCTAACAATCTGATCATATTATAATGAAGCCTTTGTTGCAAATACCTAATGGGTTGGCTCCAAATGTCATGCTCAGAATGGACCTTTTGAAATAATGAGTCTACTCTAAGTTTGATTATGTCTATATTTACCCTGTTTCCCCGAAAATAAGACCTAGCAGGAAAATAAGTCCTAGCATGATTTTTCAGGATGCTCATAGTTATACTACCCCAAAAATAAGCCCTACCCCAAAATAAGCCCTACCCCAAAAATAAGCCCCGGTTAAGATCGTCAGCCAGACAGATGCATTTAGTATGTCTGTTGCAACATAATTTGGGGTTTGGAGAGTTATGACGATGTTCCAGAAGAAGATTGGCATGATTGTATATTTGAATAAATGTAGATTTTTGTACATAAATAAATCTAGATTTTTGTACATGAAAAAAAATAAGACATCACCTGAAAATAAGCCCTAGTGTGTCTTTTGGAGCAAAAATTAATATAAGACCTGGGCTTATTTCTGGGGAAACATGGAAATCCTGCATACCCTGCATATATAGTAAGCTCTGAAATTGAATGCCTATAATTGTATATGATGTACTTATAGAATTGTACTTCTACTAACATATGGAGAAGATGAGCAAATTTGTGGTATGAGGAATAGATAGGGTGGCAAGATAGCAATATGGATGAAAGAACTAGTTTCTTTGCTTACAAAAATACCTCCTTTTGGGGGTAAAAAGTGATATTTTTCTGCATTTCAGTTGTTTCTATGTTATTCATCCACTTGAACATCTCTCTTACCAATTAAAATTATATTTGTATTAATTAAAGAACTTTGCAGAACTCTTTTCTTTTTAATTGGAACAACTAACAAGACAGTTTGATTGGGGAAGACTGAACTGAGAGCCATAGATTACAAACCACAAAGGGAGGATCCAACCTCACAGTTATTCTGCAATGATCAGATGGCCTTTTTGATGGAGTGGAGCATGCCACTTGCCATAAATCTGGCTTCTTTGCCAAGGACAAGCTTTCTTTGCTTTGCCTTTCAGACCAGAAACCAGGGATGGCAACTTAAGGCCTTGATTCACCGTTTCTCTCCATTCTATCCTTTTGACTGCAGGACAGAAGTGGGCAGCAAGCAGATCTTCAAATGCTTTGGCTATCAGCTCCCAGTTTTCCTGAGCTTTGGCCATTCTGGCAAGGGCTTCTAGGATTAAAGTTTCTGCTCGTCCTGCTCTAGCAGAGCCCAGCTAACACACAGGAGTGGTGGACTTTGATCATTACTACTATTGTAACCAATATTGTAACTAGCCATGTCATTCTCTACTAAGTTAATCCAAATGATAGTATCAGTGCCAGCCTATTGTTTGCTTTGGAAGGCTACGAATTCCTGACTAACCATGTGCATGGTGATATCCAGAAAGTACTCGGAGACTGTTAACTAAGCAGCAAAGCAGTGAGCGAGTGGTTAAAAGATACTGCAGCAAGGTAAAACATACACAATTAATTTGAGAAATTTCCAAATGTAGCATGATTGAACACAAATTGGTGATACAAACCAAGGGATCTTCAGACCTAGAGAGAAATAATGGTATTGTTGGAGAAAGAGGGGTCATCAAGACTGAGAAGTGTTCATATTTCCACAGTCCCGAGAAAGTGTCTAAAAGACGTTGGACTACAAAAGTACATTTACAAGATCACTTCCCTTTTGGTTTTGGTTTTTCATAGTAAAACATCTAAGAGAAAGTATTTTACTGTTTCAGAAATGAACCAGTGAGGCTAGGAAAACTGGCCTTAAATATACAGTCTGAAAGCTTTGTGGAGAGGCATGGCTTTTCACAAGATGTGTGAGCAGGGTTTTGTGTATTTTTTGTGTGCGTGTTTTTTTTAAAAAAACCTCTGTGCCAAGTTGCTCCCCATTCTGTGCAGAATCTTACAGGTTCCATAGAGCATATAAATCAAGCAAATTATTTTGCTTGGCCTTTCTGCTAGTTGTGAGGAAAAGCAAGGCATTAATACAAGGTGCTGCAGCAGAATGCCTTGCTTTTCCCTACTGTGGAATGTCAGGTACTGGAAAGTTAATCCACCTGCTATCTTGGCTTTTGAGACTTTGCTAGGCATCTCAGGTCAGCTGAAGAGGACTCATGTGGTGCAGTAGTTAGAGGCCTGGAGTGGGACTTGGGAGACTTGGCATCTACTCCCCACTCAGTCATGAGGCTTAATGCAAGACTTTGGGTCAATCACTGACTCTCAGTGTGGCCTACCTCACAGGGTGGTTGTAAGGAGGATAAAGTGAAAAGGAGGATCAGGTATACCACCTTGGGCTCCTTGGGGAAAAGGCAGAATAAAAATGTAGCAGATGCATGTTAACTGCCCAAAGAATCTCCGAAATTGGGCGGTATAAAAATGAAATACATCCATATATAATACTATACAGTCATGTGAGTTGGAGGTGTGCTTTTAAAACGGGGGTTCCAAGATGCTAAATTCCACAGGCAAGCTTGCATTCTTAACTTGTGTAGCTCTTTATGCAGACTTGTTGACACAAAGAACCCTGTATATTTGAAGTACATAGGTAGCTTATTCCAGTCAAATCACTGTGGAACAAAGTGCCCTATATCTTGTTGAAGAGGACAGATTACCCTAACGATTTCCTTCACATGTTGTTCCTGTTAGTAAATGTTACTTGTATGGGCAGATCAGTGAGGCTCGTCAATGGGGAGGCAGTGAATGGGGCGGGGGTGAGAAGCCAAGAGTCCTGGCATCTAGCCTAGCCCCTCAAAGAGCATGAGGATTAAATGGTCAAAGCAGTAGGAGCCGAGGCTCCTCAATTGTAGTCGCTGGCTTTTAACTGCCTTGATGGGTGACCTCTGCCATTTCTTATTCCCAGTGGTTCTTTAAAGAGCATGAAACCTGCTTGCCTTCAAACTTGTTCCTGGATGGGCTGATGCAAATATCAGACCTTGTGGGAGCAAATTTCCTTGGTCCTTCAGGGAGCCTAACATTGCTTGATCAAGGGCTTTTGTGGATTGCGTGTGGGCAAATAACATCCCTCTTTTGGGAAGGTGGGAAATAAGGATTCTTTGCAGTCTGAGAATTCACCTCCTGTCATGCTGTGTCTTGGGAAAAGGGTGGGCAGACAGGATCAGGAATATATATCCTTTTTGCCACAATGGCCCATGTTGTACTTCTGACTCACCTATATATGAAAGGGAGGTGTGATAGCCTTTTAATTTGTGGCTTGCCTCCATCTAGGAGGCAGGTAGAAATAGAAGAAAGAACTGAGTGCAAAGCAATGGAGCTGAGGCTTACCCTTGGGTGCTATTGCATGGATGTGGAAAAGCTTGTGTCTGTGTGAATGTTGGCTGTGGAAATTTTGTGTAGGCGGATGAGCTGTGTGTTTTGTGAGTGTGAGGGGATGTGGGAATGCATTCCACTGGCTCAGACCTGGACTTGCACTCAGGAAAGGAGGGAACAGGGCAACTTAGGGATCGTGTTGCAGCAGGAATGTAGTCTGTTGAAGTCCTTGCTGGCAGTGTATTGTTTGCATTCACATATGTGATATTATGTATGCATAAACATGTTTGAAAGTATTCCATTAAAGTGTGTATCCAAAGTGTACCCTTGGATATTTGGTAGGACACCAAAATAACCCTGCTTTTCTCAGATCCTGACACAAGTGTCTGTGCATATATACACAAACTAGTGTGTTGGTAATACTTTCCATTGCTGTGCTAGGTAGCTGTTGTGTGAGAATGCTGTTACTTATATATGCATGCGTGCGCACACACATTATGTGGATTTGGAAGAGACCAACTAAATACACATCTGCATAGATTTGGATATGGTGTGTGCATTGGGGGAGGTGAGGAGCACCCCTTGGTAAGACAGCAGTGCTGGATGTGTCGTCAAGTTTTGAGATTGCTGAAGCCTATGGCATGGGGTCTTGCAGTGTAGTGTGTCTTTGGGGGTTACAGAGAGCACATTTTGCAGCGGCACGGTTGCTGGCTCTGCGTGCCGACAGAGTAAGGGGCAGCAGGGGAGGGGGGAGAAGCATTGTCTGGGGCTGATCTGTGTGCTGGGCACGCACTCAGTTGCAAGTGGGTCTCTAGAAAATGGCTGAGAGTGAGTGAATCGCCTGGGCCCCAGCTCCTTCCATCTTCTCTCTGCTTGGAGAGGGGAGGGGGCTGAGTCTCTCTCCTCCAGCCCCCCAGCTGTATTTTCCTCCTTGAGTAGGCCCAGAGCACTAGCAGTGCCTCTTGAACAAGAAGGGCTTCCCTGGGGGAGGGATGTCTCTCTAATTTCATTACTTTCCTAGGGCACCTCACTCGCATGGCTGGCAGAGGTGGGTGCCTGTGCTGCTTTTCCCTAGCCTGGGCCCCATCAGGAAACGTGCTTTGCTTCACTTAGCTTGGGTAATTTACTAATCAGCTCCTCCTACCTCACTCATGCTGACATGCTAGAGAGGTAGGATGGCTGCCGGCTCCCTTTTTCACTGTGCCAGTTTTGTTAGGCCTTCATCCTTCTGCTTCAGGGTTGGGGGTCTGGTAGTAAGGCTTTGCCGTGGCAGGCTGTTTTAAAATACTACCCTCCCCAGGCAGAGGGCTGTCTGCACAGGATGGTGCAGGCCGAAGTCACCTTAAGCTGAGGTCCTTCTTAGGCTAGCTGTGTATGACTGTGGGGTAGCCACCAAATCCTTAGGGGACCTTCAGAGTTAACTGTTCTAGGAAGGGCCAGCAGAATGGCCTGTGTCCTTACTCTGAAGCTTCTCAAGGACCAGCATCCTTTCCTTGATACTGACACTACCATGGGATAATTCAGGAACGCTACAGCCCCCAAAAACCTGCAGTGTGAAGTGAGAGCATTCCTGGAAGCACTGGGCCACCCACTCATCTGTTTGAGCCTCTCTGTGTGCATACATGCTCAGAGGGACAGAAATAGGCCATGGGTGTCTTACTTGCTTCTTGTAACTTGTGGTGGAGTGTCCCTGGAAGCAGATCTGGACCGCAAGATGCCATTTCCTCATCCCTGCTCCAAGCTATTCATGAAGATTGGGTGAAGACCTCAAGCTTCAGATCGATTCCTGTGCTGACCCCTTTTCCAGTGGTGTGGGACTATGAGAAGAGGCCATTTCCTGCAACTTAACCTCCCCCCCACCAATTTTCCTTTTTGTCTGTAATTTTTGCTTGGGCTCTGCATACTTTCTGACCTTCAGCAGTACAACCTCTCTGTACTTACTGGATAGTGTAGAATTGAGGTTAGTTGGGCCTGCTTGTGGCTTCTGTGAAATTCTGACTATCCCTTTATCCTTGCTGCCCTATTTATAGCTGTTTTACTGTCTCATGTGGCTCTGTGAAAATCCATCTGCAGAACATCAGTTTTCTTTCCATGTCTCATAGAGATATAAAATTTTGGAAAATGTGAAGCTAGGAGAAACATCTGTTTTCCTCCTTTCACATTTCTAAAAGTTCTTATGAGTATGTGTGAAATTTAACCAATGTCAATTATTAAATATTCTACAAATTCTCATTTCAGCAAGAAGTCCTGTTGTGGGACTTAGGACAAAACTTGTGTTAGCAGAGTTTGCCTTTGGTTGCTGTTGCGATGTTAGAGAGAATTTATGTGTGAGTAGAAAAAAGAAAGACGGGACCTGGGCCTTAGTTCAGTTGTACAGTGCATGCAAAAGGTCCCAGGTTTGATCCGCGACTTTTCCGCATGGGGCTAAAAAAGAATCCAGCCTGATTGCCCTAATAGCTAGTGCTAGTCAGAATAGATTAGCCTTCCCCAACCTGGAACTCTCCAGATGTTCTGGACCACAATTTCCATCATTCCTGACCATTGGGTACGCTAGTTAGGGCTCATGGGAGTTTGAATTCAAAACTTTTGGAGAATACAGGGTTAGGGAAGGCTGGTGTGGACAGTACTGAAGTAGGTGGATTGGGGTTCTTACACTGTATTATGCTACTTCTGGAAAATGGAAGGGCAAAAAATACCCATTCAGACAAGCAGCAGACATACATATAAAATTTGATAGTATATTATCCTTCCCCAACCTTGGGTTCCCATGGGATATTGGACTATAGTACTGTCATCCCTAACCCGCACTGCAAATGGTTAGGAATCAAGGGACTTGTAGTCCAACAATATCTGGGGAACTTTGTTTTGGGAAAGGCTAATGCTGACCAACTTTCTGTGGCCAGTGTAGCTTAGGAAGCTCATGGAATAACAGTGATTGCCATTCCCTCTGTTTTTCTTGCAGCAGCTGGGGGATGCAGGCACAGGGCTTTCATCAAGTGCTTGTGACTGATACTGGTTTGTTTTTCATGCCCTGTGTATTAGTCTGCTGTTGCCCACTGCTGAATGTAGCAGACTCTAATCCAATCCTTTCCTTTCCTTTCCTTGTAGCTTTGCAGTGCTTGGATGGCGACAAGCCCTGTGAGAATGGTGGGAGCTGCATCGTTTACTCCAATGGACTTGCTGCCTGCATGTAAGTTATGCCTCTGTACAGATTGGGCCACAGGTTCAATAAGAGTGCATTGAATCAGCTTGGAAGTTTACAGTATTCGGCTATATGCTTGTAGAGATATGTCTAGTGATGTAATTTGGGAGCTGTGAATTGTCATTGTGAAAAATGTTTGGACTGAAGTAGGAGAGCAAGTGAGATTTGTTCATGGGATATAGTATACATTGGAATTCCTGAGCCTGGAAACTCCCCATGAGCTACAAGGTAAATCATAATGGCATTCTGTGGAAGGGACACATACTGCCCTAGTCCTGTTACAGGCAAAGCATCTTTCCCAGCCACTTCCTGATAGGCCTGTGGGAACTGAGAGGTGTTCTGTTGGCTGGTGCACATTGATTTCCACTGTGTATTTCTGACTGCTGTACAACTGGGAGGCTGTTTACTATGGGGCATTTAAGTAATTTGATCTCAACATCAAATTAGAGCCAGTGTGATGCAGTGGATAGTGCATTGGAATTAAGGAAAGTGGAATTAAAATGTTTGCTCTGCCATGAAGCATTTTGGGGTGAGGGGAATCTTGAACTAATTGCTACTTATATGTATAAACTACCTCATGGTTGGGTTGTTGTGAGACTAAAACAAGATAATTGCAGTATAAGCCACCCTGTACTGGGTGCTGTAATACTGTATTAATTGGATGGTCCATGATAGCTAAGGGGTGAAACAGATGAGATGTAACGGATCTCAATTTAGATGTTGTAGGGTTATCCTTTTCCCCATTTTCAAGTCTAAATATCCTCAACTTCTTGTTAGTCTCTCAGCAGAAAGCAGAAAGGTTATAAGAGTTGTGAGTGTGGGAGGATTTGGATTAGGAAAAGGAAACACGCCTCTTCACATTTGGTTCACCCTGCAGCTTCCTTTAGATAATGAAGGCTCAGAATAGGCAGAATCCTACAGGGCACTTATGTCCTCACCAATTCCTCTCTGGAATTGATTTTCTTCTGCAAGTGGGACCCACTGTGTACACAACGGAGGTTTCACACTTAGGAGAAGACCCAGAATGAGTTCTAGTGACCTGTCTCCTTCGACAAACTAATGTTTTCACCATTTTTAGTTGCTCCAGCAGCACTGTATTGCCATTGCACAACAGAACTGGTGGAATTGGCAGGACAGAAGAGAATTGGGGGGGGGGGTTACATCCTGTTGGATTTTGCCCTTGATCACCAATCTTGCATGCCTCAGCTGTTTTGGCCCTTTCTGTCTGTAAGACAGCACATGTCCCTAGTTGGTAAGTTATAATCGGGATCTATCAGTTTGGATTCCTCTTGTTTAAACAGGTTTGAAAGCTGCTAGGTCATTCTATCTTCTTGATCTTGCTAATGTTTTGACAGGCTGAAAGAGTGGGAGTACTCTTGATTCAAAACACATTGTAAATGCTGCTAATACTGTACTGAACTAATTTTATAATACCTTCCCAGTGATAATGTTTAAAAGAACATCTAGATTGTGCAAGTGACATAATTACAATGCTTTCAGCATTAGATTGCATTTGTCTTCATGGTTTCCTCTTGTTAGTCAGGTCAAATGGCACTGGATGATAGTAACACACACATTGAGGTTTTCTGGCAGTGCTGTATTTGATGGTCCAGAGAATGGACCTGGATTTAGCTGGGCCTGGGATTCTTACTCATCATGCTTTCTTCAGTGGCTTCTCCTAGTGGCAGGTGTCTGAGCTAGTGTAGTGAGTTCCTAGCTTGGCTTGGTGCTGCCTGTGTTGGAATCCAGGACAGGTGGATCTGCCTGCAGCTGCCACGCCCAGAACAGGTGAATCACTGGGAGGCACGGACACCTGGCCTGGATCCCTGGATGGGATGAGATAGGACGAGCAACTATTAGCAGTCAGCTGTAAGTTCTAATCTGCTGTTCAGAGTCAGAGTATTGTTACCCATAACCACAGTGGGCATTTATCCAAGCCTTCTGGGGGTCTGTAAAAGTTGTGGGGTTTCTGAAGAACTCTGGATATGTCCTGCTGGGTGCTCAGAGAAGAGGAAGAAAAAAGAAAGGGAGCTCTTGGCAGCATGGTTTGAAACCTGTTGGGCAGGTTGGGTGGGGAGGCCTGGGAGTGCCCAGGGCTGAAGGGAAAATGCTCTCCTCCTCCTCTTCTTCATTTCCCCCTCCCCCACTAAACACCTGCAAAGAAGCCTTTTAAAGGAGCAGTCACCTTTTGGCTCTGTCTGATAGGGGAGGTGGACAATGGGTGGTTCTCATTTTTGTTTTTTAATTCGACCCCCCCCCCCCAGCCCCAAAGCTTAAGACTTGTGCCTTGAAGGAGAAGGTGGGGCTTGGATTATGACTGTCACATTCAATTTAAAATAAATGGGAATACATTTTGTTTGACAAATGGGTGCTGTAGCTGCTCAGAAGTACGCAGAGGAAAATTGAATATTTTTGGAGCTGGTGATGCTGAGGCCAATGTTGCAGGGCGGTGGGGGGCAGATACTGGACCAGAATGGCAATGGGATCTGAATGCGGCCTGGTTTGAGAGCTGGGTAGGCTAGGTGGGTGGCTGAAAATGTTGCAAAGCTGTGAAATAAGATTCACACTACCTTTGATAGTTGGCACAGAACTTTATCTAGGTTTTCATTTTTAAAAATAATTCTTTGTTGCTTTTTTATATACAAACAATATGATAATTAAAAGTGGTGAACAATAACTGAGAACAGGAATTTCATCAATACAAAGACGCATGCATGCATGCATGCATACATACATAAAGATACCTGGGTGGGGTGAGGGAAACAACCACCTAAAAATGGATGCCCCATTTCTGGAATCCACAGAAATGGAAGGAGTTTCTGCACTCATCCATTAATAATAGTTTTTCTGTCCCTTTTTTCTCATGACTATTTCTTCAGCTGTTCTAGTCACAAAGAGAAAAATTAAATATGAGACACTTTGCAGCTTGTAGCCAATGAAAACATGCTAATTTGATACTTGCAAATGTGTGCATTCATTTTAACTCCAGAATGACACTTTCCTGGGTTTTTTATTCCTGGATTTCTCTTCAAGTTGGATGGTAGGACAACAGTGAATACAATGACGGTTGGCACCTTTGCAGTGATGCCATTCCTGCAGTCTCTCGGTGCAGGTGATTTCTTTGTCATATTTGATTAATAATTATCAGTTGTTTGGGAAATTATCTTTCATGGACTTGCCTGGAATTGGGGACTGTCAATGTGAATGAGTATCTGTAAAAGAGAATGTCTATCTGTTGCCAGCAGCAGGTAATGCACTGTTTGACCTCACAGTGTATTTTGTTCCTCTTGAATTTCATATCTTGTGTGTTAGCTAAAGATGGCAAGAATTGATTATTCAAGATCACATTCAAATAAAGGCCTAAGGAAAAAACCCTTCCCCATCTGCAGTCAATTTAAAGGATGTTTATATGATTTTTAAATCAGGAAAAGTCAGGTTTCTGCACAAACACAGAAGTAACATTTCTGTTTACATTAGAAGTTAAGGAGGTTACTCATTCATGGGTTTGCTCAGATCAGATTTCCTTTGGACCAAATCTGCCTTGCCACTGTTTTATGGCTCTGCTTTAGTTTCACGGGCATCTCTGCTTATATGGAAAATGTGTGAAGTTGGGCCTTCTGAGGGCCAAGCCACATGTGGCACATGCTCACCCAACTTGTATATTAAGCAGGACATTGTGGGAAAGATTCTTAACAGAAAAGCATACATGTAGGAGCATGTGTTGAACCTTCCTTTCCTCCATGCTTTACCTTTCCATGGTTCACTACTTCAAGCACATCCCCCTCAGTTCTTGATTCAAATACAGAAAATGCAGCAAGAAGGGAAATTGTCCCCATTTACTTTTAAAGACACCACTCCCTTGCTTTGTGCATGAATGGGGATATAACATGTGAAAATAATTGTCTGGTTTGCCATTGTTGTGCCTAGTTTGGCGTATATGGTCAGTTTATTATTCCGGCTCAGTGATATTGTTTTGTTCTCAGAAAACTTCACTTTCATGCATTTCAGTCCTATGTAGAATTTTTTGTGGTATAGGTGGACTTCCAAGACAACTAGAGAGCACAGAAGAAGTAGGAAGGCAAGTTGCTCCTTTGTTCTTGATGTTGCAACTAAAAAGTGTGGCTGCAAAAATAGCCATTCAGAGCAACTTTGGATATTATTTAGAAGAGAGGTGACCAGATAAAAAGCTTGGAAGATTTACTTGCTTTTATTCTATTTTCTTACTTTAGAGCCCAGAAATCATCCAGTGGGGGCCTCTTGCAAAAGATACAGAATTAATGAATTAATTCATTTAAAAAGAAGCTACTCCTAGTTTAAATGCTTGCTCCCTTAATTGGGAGAATGGGTGCTTGAGCAGGATTCAAAGGACCACCAGGTTACAAAGTGGTAATGAACTAGGAACTAATTCCTGGAACTAGGAGTGTGGCGTTTATGGCTCCCCTCCCCCAAACATCTGCAGCAAGTAGGAGTCCAGTTCTGCTTCACCGGCAAAGCAGCATCTTAGCATGATGTAGCATTTCCATTCTTGGAATGGTGTTTCCAACTCTAGTGCCGTGAATTGCTACAGCTGGCTTTGGAATGGGGAGCAGGAGAAGGGGCACTGCATTGATGTCTCTCTCCTCTCTCCCTGGATGGCAAGTTGATATGCTTCGCCATTCAAACAGGGACAGGAAATAAAGTATTCTTGTGAGCAGCTGCTGCTACTTACCTTTGGTTTATTTAATGTTTGTTATCCATTTTAGCTTTGTGGGATTGACGGCAATTGTAAGATTTCCTCATATGTAGCACTCTGTGTATGTGCTTAGTTTTATTTGACCGTTAAGTGAAGGCCATACCTGTCTGTCAGCTACTGGTTTCCTTCTACTTGTAAGGTATGAGTAAATGTCTCCTGCCCGTAGCTTGGCAGGAGAAGGCCCCAGAGACTTTCATGCCAGTTGTTGTAAACTAAGGGCCAAGAAACTGGGTGCAGTAGAAGCCTTCAAAGAAAA